GGATGGAATGCCAAAAATAACATTGGATACTCCTGCATCTGTCAACCATATTAATTCCTTTTCACCCAATTAACAACAGTCTTAGCAGAAAAACCACTGCAGACAACTAGAAGCAGTAAGAAAACACAGCCTCTTGAGAAAGGGGAGTTTCAAGTTTACCCAATAGGCCTTCACTGTTAACTGTTGACAGGACTGGCGGTGCTAATGCAGACATTAAGAGCAGAACAAAAGACTGACTTCCAAAGGTCATTATTAGCATATCATTAAAGGTTGTGTTTCTGACTATTCTTTGACCACCTTAGAACAGATTAATCCAGCTAAAAGCAGGCTAAACCAATTATGCCAGAAGCTCTGTCTTCTGTCAATTAGACATTAGAATTGGGACGGGGTGTGAGTGGAGGTTGATACAGATATAGAGAGCGCATGAGGCAATCTTTGCAAAAATACAGAGAAATATAAACCAATGTTAATAGCAGTCTGGCAGCAATATTGACAAAGTTGTAAAACAAAAAAAGTATCATGGAAAGCAAGCTATAATTTAAAACTAATTGTGTGTGAGAATAGATTTTGGCAATAAAGTGAGGCTGGAAATAGAAAACTGGCTTGATTAGACACTATTTATATCATCAATAAAGAAGATAAACATTTTGGCAATATGTTACTTTTTATACTTGTTGCCATATGCAAAATTTCATTTAACCATATTATATTCTAATGTATTTTTTGTGTGAATTTATATAGCTTTAAAAAGATAATCCTGGTTTCCTGGTTTGTTTAATAAGGTAGCTTGAAAAAATAAAATATATTAGGCAGTATCCAACATTATCACTAGCATAAGAACCTACTGCTGGGTAGCATAACCGGAAACTAGCCAAAACTACCTTTTCTGGAATGAGCTCCCAAGAAGAACTTCCAATAACTTGGCCCATCCAGAAAGTGGGTTGCACTACCCACTAGTGTAGTATGTTCATTGTTGATGAACTGACAGCACTAACTACTGTTTCATTTATCACTTTCCAGTTTCACAGTAGTATAGTAATAACCTGCAAACAGTTGATAATCTATGGCTAAAGCCTTTTGGACAATTGTTCAGGTTTTGCCCAAAGCCTGATTATATTCACTTGCAGTGCTGAGATATGAGTTTACCCCAAGAATCCAAAAAGTCCCTTTTACTATGTGTTGTATAACCAAAGGAAGTTTTTTCCCACCCACTTAAGATGAATCAGTAAGAGTACTCATGAGAACCAGGGTGATGGGACTGGGGATCTGGGAGATCCAAGTTCCAGTTCCCACTTGGCCATGAAGGTCACTAGGTTTCTTTCAGCAAATCATTCATTCTCAGCCTAACTAAACTCACAGGGCTGTTGTTGTGCAAATAAAATGGAATGCAAAAGAACTGGGTAATCTGCCTTGGGTTCCTCCCAAAAGGAAAATAGCCAGATGGAAATGCAATGTTATTATAATATTTACTACCCTGGGCTACTTCAAAACAGACTTGACTAAATTAGACCTGCCATTGATCCAATCTGGCTAGGTCAGTTTAACTAACTGGCTCATTGTTCAAATGCTAAGTGTGCAAGAGCCAAATAGACACCTATCATCCTTACCTCAAATCATATGATTTAGGGTATAGCTTACTCTCACAACTTCTCCAGTCTCTAGTATAACAACCAGCAAAGTCCTGTCATACCTTCCATTCAAACCAACCCAACCCAACCCAGGAAAATTCTAGATGGTAAGAATTTGCAAAGTTCATTCACGTGGCAGTTTGCTTAAAAACCTGTGCATATGCTGGAACCTTTATAGCATTTCAGCACACTATATGCAATGGGAAGGGATGAAGAAAGTTGTAGCTCAGCATCTTTACACCCACAGATTACCTTCCTCCCCACCTCCTGCAATTAATGTCCTCATTTCGATGGGGGGCAGCTTCATGGGAGTAGGCTATACATGTGTGCCCAAGTTAACTGCATGCAATAGGGAGTGTAAGGAGCTGCAGCTCAAGATTTTGAAAGGTAATAGCAAAAGCACACCCAATAATCTGACAGTTTCTCCTGTACAGATATTAGCTAGTCAAATATTTTATATCATTGTGAGGGCTTCCTTTCTTGCTTTCCAGCATCAGCTCTCTCATTTCCTAAATAAATAGGAAATTTATTTTCCTATTTATTTTCCTCACCAGCTTCCTAAATAAATAAAATTTCAGTCTTATAAAATGGTTAAAGGGCACTTGCCCTTCTGGTTCTCTGTTATCTAAATGCCAGAACTGACTGTAAGTTAGGTGTGAACAATTTAACAATTTATGGGTTGGAGAAATCTATATATGCATTAAGTCAAGGCGGACAAAAAGAACTTTTCCAAAGCAGTGTGGCAGAATGCTCAGCAGTATATTCTGGGCTGAAATATTTTTTTTTTCTTGTTTGTTACTGAAGGCCTTTTATAGTACTTCAGTGTTAGCATTAGATAAGAATATAAAGTAGAAATGCACAACCTTCCCCTTCATCTATTTTTACAGTCCTTTCAAGGTGCTAAACATTTACCACCTTGCTAAATAATTGCATCCCTGACAAGTTTTCCTGTCTCTTGGCAATTTCTTCTTAGCAGACTTTGGCAGAAAAGTTTTCATAATAACGGAGATTACATGGCACTGAGAAATCCTTAAAGCACAATCCTTTGCATGCTTAGATAAAAAAGTCCTACAACTCCCAGTATTCCAGTTGTAATACATTTTATCTACCTAAACACCAATAAGATTGTATCCTTAATCTCTCAAAAACATTTTGAGGGATATGAATGCCGCCAAGGCCCCAAGCCAGGTTTCCTCAAGCACCAGAAATTTTAATGCAGGACAGTATCAATAGAACCTTAATTTATGTTGTGTAGCAAAAAAGCTAACAGTTACACAATTCCTAAGGGAAGTTTCATGCCTGCTCTCAAAGAGGCTTTGTTATCATTTTTCCATTCTGTATAGTAAGCTTCCATGCAACAGTCATTGCTGTGTAACATGCTGTCATGAAAACATTGTTGCTTCTTTTTGCTGGTGTGGGGTGAAATGTTTTGCTATGGAAGCAGAAATGACACACACGATCCTGCTCTTTGCTATGAAGAAAAGCTCACCTGGCAGGTCCCACTTCCCTGGCACTTATGCTCGTTGCTCGAGGTTGCTAATTTTTATGAACAGCGAATTTGAGATCCGTAAGAGAACTCTAATGTTGGTATCACAGGCCTCTGATCCAGATGTTTAGCAGAATAAAGAGACCAGTTTTGCCTGCAGTGTACCGATTTTGGCTGCAGTTCAGAGATCATATAAGTGAATGCTCTCCACCAGAAAACTCCATGTGGATAGAAAACAGCATGTATATTAAGAAGCCTAACTACTTCCCCTGATGCACTTCCTTTCTGTTTGAAAATTCTTTAAAAATAAATATATATGAGGCGATTTTTTTTTGTTACCCCAAATGTTCCTCTTTCTCTAAAAAGAAAAAAAAAATAACTGAAATGACACAACACTGCTTTGAATTTACCTAATCCCCAAAGCCTTTGGTAATTGCATAGCTGTATTCAGTAATGCTATTTTTTAAAATATTGCATAATTGCCATCATGCTTTATAATATGAAGTGGACAATCAATAGATATCTACATTGCAAGGGGCATGAGAGTGATGTCACTCAGAAATATGCATATGTCAATACTCAACTTTAGTTTCAGTGCCGCAAAA